AGAGCCTCAGCCCTCAGAGGCTGGCGCGGTGCTGGCCTCGCCAAAAGGTTGACAGCTGTGCTCAACGATGTCGGCATGGCCCGTCCGAGACCGGCAGTACAGGGGCAAACGGTCTTTAAACCGCGCCCTGTTGGGGTCCGTTCATAGCGTGGCCTGGTGGGGGGGGGGCTATTTTTTGCCCCCCCCCCCCCTCGTATCTCCGAAACTACTGGATGGATCCGCAAAATTCAAGCGGCGTTCGAAAGCCCTTTCATATTTGTCGAAGGAAATCCAATTTCATTGACCTCGGGATCACCGATGACGTCACAGGTCAGGTCAAAGATAAAATGTTCTGCCGGTTACGGGTCTTCTAGGGAATGCGCTATAACATCGAGCAAAACGCATTTTATCGAAAATCAGCGATAGGGCGTCAGTTGCCTAGTACAGCTCTCAGCAGACTGCGTGGTAGGTATTCTTTTGTCGACAAAACCGATAATAACTCAAAGGCTATGTTATCAGTCGGTCGGAACTCACTGCAAATAATTGCGCCATATTCTAGGTAGGGGAAAGTGGGTGTATTGCGCCCTCCCAACCAATTGCGCCCACCAACATTCCCACGGATTCAATGGCATGTTTAGAATTTTGTGTTCGAAAACATTATTTTCACCACTGGATTGCTCATTTTATGGCCCAAACACTCCGATGAAGCCAATCAGCAAGGCTCATTACGCCATCAAAGATGTTATGGCGTTTTCTTAACTTTTTTTGCAGTATTGTGCACCGTTGGCTATAAAAAATTGCGATATTGGTGTGATTTTCAGAGTGATATTTAGAAAGAAAAACCCTTTTTTCATTGTATTTCACTGACACCATAAACTTCCTGCAACATCTTTATGATAACTTCTATGCTTTTATTAAAAAGTACCAGTATGTTCAATAAGTAAGTTCCGTTTTGATATAACTCGTTTATTTTTTGGCACATCTCAACCAAACATGGCTCACGGCTCGACGAACTCGCCCTGCAGGCGAACGCATCGTTCCCATCGCTTGGCCAGGTCCCGGATGGCCGCACGAAAGCTTTGAGTGGGGGTCTTTTCGCCATACTGGTAAATAGCAGACCCGAGTGCAGACCGCGAGCCGAACCTCCGGCCCCGGAGATTTCTATCCATGTCTGAGAACAGCCAATAGTCACTGCGTGCAACGTCTGGAGAGTAGGGATGGTGCACCTCGATGCCCTCTGCCTGCAGGGCATCCCTCGCCACGAGGGCACGGTGAAGAGGCGCGTTATCCTGGTGCCAGGATGAACCGACCACGGGCCTTCTCAGGGCGGCAACTGGCGATTACTGGCAGGAGATGTGTGGCATTCAAACTTTGCGTCTATCGTAGACTGTATTTCTTCACCCTTCAGACATCTCAACGCGCACACCGATCCGTCCTCTCTCTCTCTCCCGCCCTGCTCTCCACTGCCCGCCCGTCTCCCAATGTCCGGCCGGGCCGCCCAATATACGGGCCGGCGTGTCCCTGATGCCGCGCACATGTGAGGCACATGGACCTCCATTTATGACCACTTATGACCCGACGCCGACCCTACGCGACAAGGCTAGAATACAAACTATGTGAACAAACAGAGAGACACAAGATGGTCTCTAATGATCCTGGCGTAGGCTTATGTTTAGGCTTTCTGTTATCGCCTGGACAGTAATATGATAAAAAAAAGTAAAAACTGATGCCATTAAGTTGTCAAAACGATAAAAATTATTAATTTTGAGAGAAACGAGTGAAAATTTAACTGAATAGGCGCATACGTTCACAGATATCTAGTCGGTTACAGTAAACGTTTTCGTTGCACTTTTACAAGCGTACGGACACATGTAAAGTTATCTACCTGGGCAAAAAACATCGCGATGTATATCTACATTTATTATTTATCCAGCCTGAATAACATAATAAATGTTTAAGTAAGCCGCAATGACATTAGACTGCCGGGGTGTATGCATTCCGTCTCATTCACTTAGCTATGTTAAAGTATAGGGTGCAATTGGGTTATATAATTGCGCCATCCCCCTGGCGCAATTTACAGCAGTTGTTGGCAAATGCGCCCTTTTGCATGTTTCTGAAAAAGCAGCTGTCAAAAGCAAACGTAACATTCTTTATTGATCGGGAGGCTCTTAAATCGTAGCCAATGAGCTCCTCTTTGAAATGGTTACCAGTGCATGCTTATATCTCCAGCAGTTTTCTTACAATTAGCATTTTTCCTTGAGGTGGCGCAATTCACCCTCCTTCCCCTACTCCTTGGATTGGGTCTATCACTAAGCAAAGTATACGCCAGTCGCCATGTGTGGCAGCAAAATGCAAAAGTTTGCTTTGGGGGCAAATATAAACTTTTGGGTTTGTTGCCAAACTGGATGGAAAATTAAAACGATGATAATGCCAATCTAAGGTGCGGAGTCTGGCGCGTCTTGCTGTTACGATTTCCGAGTGACCGATAGCATAGTATATTCGCGTCATTCTCGGTTCTGTCGAAAAAAGAATTCCTACCACGCAGTTTGCAGAGGGCTGTACATAGGTACCTAGGTATGTTGCTATTAGAGGTCACTGATAATGCCAGGTCAGGTCACAGGTCAGGTCACCAAGGGTCAGCACATGAACCCAATTTTACTAGGGCTGTGTGATGCATGTTTTATGGCCAATTTTTCATTTCAAACTCAATGGTGTTGGTTATAAGACCATGAGGAACGGTTTAGGCTACTTCCTCGTGGAGGTCAGGTCAAGGTCAGGTCAAAAAAGGTCAAATTTCAAAGTTGATATTTTGCATAAAATGGGTAGGTATTGATTCGATGAAGCTCGTCACGGCGAGTCTAATGGTCATGGTGGTCTTTGTTTTGCGCTACGTGGTCTAGGATGGCTACGATGCCATCAATGTTGAACCGTTTTTTCCTGGTGATGCGGGCTGCATCATCAGGAAATACCTTAGTGTGGGCTTTATGCGGGTAGCAAAAATATCACAGAACAAAAATTTTCCTTTAACACGCGCAGTGGAAGGGGGGAGGCGGATTTCGCCCACCCCTCCTGTTTTTCGCCCGTAACTCGCGCTGAAAACATAATATTAATGTGAAGTTTTGGCCACCTGTCCAGAATTGAATTGCAGATCTTCTCGTGCAAGAAATAAGAAAATCGGTTTGCAACTTTTCTAGTAATAGCGGTGTAAAGTCAAACATCCTGCCACCGCGGCGGCGCGGCGGCGCGGCGGCCGGCGCTAGCCGTTACGCGCCGCCTGAATTGTAGACTGAGCCGGGGCGGGACGGTTCCGTCTTTACATCGCGCTCCTTACCGCTGATTATATTCGATTCGCGTCAAATTTGGTGAGAAGACTAAGAAATGTACAGGCAATCTTATGTTCAAAGAATTTTGAAAATCGGACGGCAAAAACTCAGTTTTGAGTGTGTAAACACAAAATTGTGATTGACGCTTTTCCCGCGTCGGCCGATCCCGCTTCAGCCGGCGACATCTTATCCTTAGCAGGCTTCTAACTGCCATATTTATTGTTCGATTAACTAGAAATTCACTATACATACTCACAAATGTATGTTCTTTCGTAAAGTGAAAGAAAAAAGAAAATCGGCCGGTAACTTTTGGAGTTATCGGCGTGTAAACGCAAAAAAAAGTCGCTCATATGGCAGATTTGTTTAGTTTAGTTTAGTTTATTGAGAGCATCATCAACGGGCATAGGAGGCCCAATTACAGATGAAGTCGAAGGATAAAAATACACTTACATATGCCGACACACAGACAAATACACTTATAAAAAAAATTAAAACATAGCAGTACCTACTTACGAACATGGGCAACTACATGAGACTTGAAAGACGCAGTGCTGCTCGTCCACACGTCTATCTCGCGGTTGCAGTCCAAGAAGCCATTGCAGAGCTTTGGCATGCGACAGAAAGGACTGTTCATCACTGTGTTCACCCGTGCTTACGGTACATGGAAGAGAACACATGTGATGAACACAAAATGATTTGATCACATTTGACCTCTTTTGACCTTGCAGATATTGACCTAGGGTCATGAAATTCACACACAACAGAGTTCTTCAGGGCCCCCACCTACCCTCCAAATTTCGTCTTTCTAGCTCCACTGGGAGCTGAGATCTTAGAGGGGGGGGGGGGCGCCATCCACCCCTTCCATTGGGCGTAGTACAATAAGTACTCGCCAGGTTATATTGAGTGAACCCTTCCACTGGTATTCGCAACCCTTCCACTGCGCGTGTTAAAACGGAAAATGAATATGCTGGAGCATGGCCTAGAATGCTTCAGGCACCTATGCAGTAACATGTATGTCCTGGAAAAATATGGCTAGAAAATGGAAAAGCTTTTTGGCTGTTATGCGGGTTTTTGCGGGCTGCTACCACCGAAGTTTCCATGCGGGTAGTTGCGGGTATCTGGTGAAGGGCTGCGGGGCGGGTTACTTGGATCCCAAAAAGGGCACCTCTATTTGGTAGGTAGGTATATACTTACCTATCTGAATGCGCTATAGTAGGATCCACCTAGAAACTGAGCATAGGCCCGAATATGCCTTTGATGGGAGCATGGTCCTGATGGCCGCCACTGTTCCGCAAGTGTGCAGTGTGCACATGCAATGCTCACTACTGAGCCCGCTAGATCGCCGCCCAAACCCAGCATTTCACTGGGGTTATCAAAGCAATCTGCTCGTGAGATGTTCTTGTGTAGGTGGCAGCACATACAAAACTATAGATGGCGCGAACTGAGAGGACCTTAGCATTCCATTCAACTCTCGGAGCAAAGGGGAATCATAGGGGTAAGCATACGTTCACGCCCTGGTTCGCTGACGCTAATTTTATCGGTCTTCTGGTGTATGACGAGATAGTTATCCTTTCATAATTATTTTTCTGATTTTGTTGTAGCACATGTTTTTGGTAACCAGCAAGGGAAATGCCTATTTATCATCACCGTGGGAAATGCTAATATGGCAGCTGAAAGATATGGAAGGCATACATTTTCAGCGCAGACGAGACATTTTGAAAGATGTTCTTTTCTTTACTAATCGAAACCCTTTGTAGAAATTGTCTAATCAGAGACAAGAAATATCAGCTCCTGCGGGCTTTTGAGCTGTAGCCGAAGTTCGGGAACACATTGTGAAACGGAAGCACGTTTCACAGTGTAGCACGGATTGGAGCACGATGAGCCAATCGGGCTTGCAATCGGGATTGGACGCTATTCTGATTCTGGTCTAATCCGGCAATCTCTAACTCTTTGCCAGTGTATATCTCTTTGCGTTATTTTGTGGGTCAAAAACTCGCATAGGAAAGTTGTATGTCAATGTTAATCTTTTGATTCATTGCTGATATAAGTTTCGTCATGCCTAAAGCCAGTTCCAAGACGAAGAGACCGATATCTGATTCGGACACGTCCGACTCGGGGCCTGATGACGTGAGTACCCCTAATGTCACTGGCTAGTGGCTCGGCACGGAATTGTTCAATTTCAGTTGGGGAAACTACGAGGCGAAAGTAAAAATATTGATTGGTCAATGAATGGACTTTTGATGACCATATATGGGCATAAATGCAGCCCCCGCCACTAAGGGTGAAAAACGGTATAACAAGCCGGTACTTGCAGTATCATGTCCACTTATCGGAGAGAAAAGGATTCCATTCTCCACTAGGAATTAGCGTGATATGATTAAATTTGGTGAATTGACTCGAAAATGGCGATAGGACGGCTTTTCTGCAGGTTCGGGGCGTCACAATCAGCTGGCCATTCAATAAATGGATTGGTTTTTTGAAAGAAAATTGTTAACAGATTTAATTTAATTACAATAAACAAAGCTATTTAATTGTAAAATAATAACTTAACCACAATTAGAAAACCCGTAAACAAAATAATAAAAATAATGACATTTTTTAACCACTGTACTGCTTACATTTTTTGGCGCGTCTGTTTCAATCCGCCATATTTGCCCATCACTGATTGACCTTGTGCTGTAACTCTGCGATTTAGAGCCGCCAGTTAATTGTGCACTGAGTGAGTGTGGGCCTTGTGTGGTTAAAAAACATTCTTATGCCTTATTTTTTCATTTGAATGCTAGGATGCATTGAAAAGATGAAGTCTGATTTTATGACCATATATGGTCATCGCCCCGCCCACTCCAGCCGTTGATTGGCTAATCCATTTTTTGTTTGGCTCCTCGTAGTTTCCCCAACTGATTTAGCTCACGTTTATGTGATGTTACATCTATTCATACTATCCTCGGGGCCTACCCACCCAAATATATCATAAAACTGACATCAATATATATATATATATATATATATATATATATATATATATATATATATATATATATATATATATATATATATATATATATATATATATATATATATATATATATATATATATATATATATATATATATATATATATATATATGGCAAGCTAGGCTAGGTACATTTATTTATCACTGGGAGAGTTGCATGTCTTGAGTGTTGAAATGAGGGCTGTCCACAGACACTGTAAACTGCTAAGTGTGGTGTGAGCAATGTCTGCAGCAGTTGTGGGGGTAGGAGATGAGTAGGCAGTATGACATCATGGCTGTGTGCTGTGATGGAAGGATGGTGTAGGGAGTCAGTGGGCAGAGATTCGAGCCTGTGTGCGGTCCTACCGCACTAAGGGCCCATGAACAGCCCTAGGTACAGGTAGCGTGGGCTTGCACCTTCTCCGTGGGTATCAAGTCTCAAGGTTATGGGCCTGTTCCAGCCAGTGCCTCCAGAAAAGATGAGATAGCTCCAGGATTCTCCAGTCAGTGTTCCAGCACATCTAGTAAACTCCAAAAGTTCTCAGCAAATCTCCAGAAAGCTCCAGCAGCCTCCAGTCAGTTCAAGTTGAGAGGTCCACATTTGACTGCAGGCTCTGGCTCTGGCACACTGGTGACAGTCAGAAACGGAAATAAAGGATGTAAGACAGTTAATGTTACTATTAAAATGAAAAGTCACAATATTATAATTATTGTAGGCCTACTTTTGGTAATCATATAGCAGGGCCCTGTTTCACCGGTGATAGCAGCACGCTGCTATCACGTTTCGCGAGCTGACGTCATGTCATGACGCCATACTGCTGACGTGATGGGCAGTTCCGGCGCACGATTCCCGCGACCTTGGCCGCGGCATTAAGTGACGTATGAGCCTAAAAGTAAGAATTTACGCAGTCGTGATAGTATATTTATTTTCAATATATATTTTTTTAAGATGATGTATATAAAAGAAGTTGGGTTGAAGGAAAATTTGGACGTAAACTTCGAACATTTAGTTGATGACGTAAAACAATATTGCGGCAATCGTGCGCCAGAATCGCCCCTTACGTCAGCAGTATGACGTCATCACATTACGTCAGCTCGCGCAATTTGATAGCGGCGTGCTGCTATCACCGCTGAAACAGGGCCCAGGGCCCTGTTTCACCGGTGATAGCAGCACGCTGCTATCACGTTTCGCGAGCTGACGTCATGTCATGACGCCATACTGTTGACGTGATGGGCAGTTCCGGCGCACGATTGCCGCGACCTTGGCCGCGCGGCATTAAGTGACGTATGAGCCTAAAAGTAAGAGTTTACGCAGTAATGATAGCATATTTATTTTTAATATATATATATATATATTTTTTTTTTGACATGATGTATTTAAAAGAAGTTGGGTATAAGGAAAATTAGGACGTAAACTTCGAACATTTAGTTGATGACGTAAAATAATAAATTGCGGTAATCGTAAAATAAATTGCGGTAATCGTGCGCCAGAATTGCCCCTTACGTCAGCAGTATGACGTCATCACATTACGTCAGCTCGCGCAATTTGAGAGCAGCGTGCTGCTATCACCGGTGAAACAGGGCCCTGGTGTCTCACATGTTGCCACCTGTTCGTGAAAAGTCACTAGGCTCCAATTCTTGAGATATTTACACAAATTTTGCTGTAGGTTGTACATTGGTAGGTTCAGGGTAACTTTTAAACAGGGGAAAGGGGGAATTTCCCCCCTTTGAAAATTCCTTTCCCTTCTAACTTGTGTCTGAATGGCTAGTGAGGGAAGGGGGAATTTCTCCCTTTCAAATTTATTTTGAGCCCATTTTCAAGCATTCCTTTTTTCAGAATTTTGGTTGGAAAATCACAACTACATATTGGGGAAATGACTTCATCACAAAAAAAATAGAAAGTTGATAATTTAATGTTTACAAAAATCATGCATTCCAACAGTCGGGTTACACTACCATTTCCTCTTGTTCTATGTCTACAGCAATCAGGGTCAGGCACACTTCAGGAAAATATTCATATGGAGCATCCATGGAGGAGGGTGATTCAATAAGTTGATTGTATGATGTGATAGTCTCGAATCAGCTTTCACAATGGAGATTATGATCTGGCACATGTTTCACAGAAAAAAACTAGACTGAACCAGGCTGGTTTGCATGTGTGCCAGGGGCCGGGTACACTCATCAGGGGTCGGGCTGCGGAAGGTGTATCGTGAGGGTCAGCGCTGGCGAGTCAGGTGCCAAGTATTAGGGGCCATTGAAGGGCTGTCGGGGTCCGGCAGGGGCCCATCGTTACTTCCGATGGGCCCCTGCCGTGCCCCGTGGCCTGATGGACTTAGGACTAACGCTGGCTCGTGATGAGCCAACACCAACCCCTGATTGCCCTAAAAATGCCACTGATTGGTCTCTATTTACAGGTCACTGATTTAAGGCACATTGACCATTTTTGGTTAAAAGTTCAGTAATATCGTGTCTTAACCATATTTACAGGCTGGACCTGTGAAGAAGTCACGCCCCTCTGCCAAGGCCGAGGCGAAGGGAGACAGCGGCGGTGGCGCTACCTCCTGTGAGGTGGTGAATGGCGAACCCACATGGACCATCGCTCCAAAGCGCTTTGTTAAGATCCGCAAATTCAAGGGCAAGACATATGTGGACATTCGTGAATATTGGAACGATGACAAGGGTGACCTGAAGCCTGGCAAGAAGGGTAAGTCTTGTGCTATAAGTAGGCAATAATTTGCCAATAGCGCCGCACCAAGCTTGAGCGCTTCCGGACCAGTCGTTCTATTCATATGTTCATTCGCATAATCACCAACGAGACAGGCGACTTATGGCCCTTATGACAGATGAAGTCGACGTATAGAACGAATAGATAAGTATGTTATTAGATGAACAGATATGTGTAATTAATTACTAAATAAAAAAGTAAATACATAAGTAGGAACGTAAATAAGTGAATGTCATGGGTACAACTGTGGGACAAAAAGCTTTTCTGACCTGGAACAGTAGGTTACCACCTGCTTCTTCCATTGCGGCGTCGGCATAAGGCCGGATGAAGAACACGCGCAGTGGAAGGGTTGCGAGTTCAACTCGCGAGTACTACGCCCAATGGAAGGGGGGCGGATCCCCCTAAGATCTCAGCTCCCACTGGAGCTAGAAAGACGAAATTTGGAGGGTAGGTGTAGGCCATGGGGAACTCTGTTGTGTGTGAATATCATGACCCTAGGTCAATATCTTCAAGGTCAAATGAGGTCAAATGGGGTCAAATCAGCCTTATGAGCGACTTTTTTTGCGTTTACACACCGATAACTCAAAAAGTTACCGACCGATTTTCTTTTTTCTTTCACTAAACGAAAGAATATACATTTGTGAGTATGTATGGTGAATTTCTAGTTAATCCAACAATAAATATGGCAGGTAGAAGCCTGCTAAGGGTAAGATGTCGCCAGCTGAAGCGGGATCGGCCGACGCGGGAAACGCGGCAATCACAATTTTGTGTTTACACACTCATAACTCAAGATGTTACCGGCCGATTTTCAAAATTCTTTGACCATAAGATTGCCTGTACCTTTCTTAACCTTCTCACAAAATTTGACGCCAATCGAATATAATCAGCGGTAAGAAGCGGAAGCGGGATGTAAAGTCGGAACGGTCCCGCCCCGGCACAGTCTACAATTCAGGCGGCGCGTAACGGCTAGCGCCGGTCGCCGCGCCGCCGCGCCTTCGCGGCGGCAGGATGTTTGACTTAACACCGCTATTACTAGAAAAGTTGTGAACCGATTTTCTTATTTCTTGCACGAGAAGATCCGCAATTCAATTCTGGACAGGCAGCCATAATTTCACTTAAATATTATGTTTGCGTCGCGAGTTATTGGCGAAAAAGAGAAGGGGTGGGCGTAATCCGCCCCCCCCCCCCTTCCACTGCGCGTGTTAATCGAGGAATGCGACAGGGTGGACCCCACAGCACTGTGCGGACACGCGCAAGTGGAACGTAGAATTGACATGTGTTTCGCAGCGGACGACATGATACACGCGCGACTGCCCAGTCATTGCGATTTGCGTTATTATTGTAAGCGGAATAGTTAACCCGCGCATGACTGGGGTATTTTCCATAACGCCAGTGACTGTGGGGGGGGGGGCGGGGGAGGGGAGCTCTCCAGAGCCCCCTCCTATCTCCGAAATTACTGGGCCGATCGTCTTGTCAAAATTCAAACGGCGTCTGATATCCCCGGAGAAACTCGAGCGAAACCCATTTTCATTGACCTCGAGGTCACCGATGACGTCACTGGTCAGGTTAAAGTAAAAATTATCAGCATTTTTGCATGTTCACAATTTAGGCTCTCACCGCCGGCTGACAAGTGCGATCAGGCTCATTTTTGGTTAACGCACTACTTGATATATGCCTTAGATGCCCTGAGGGTATCGAACTTTTACTTCGAATTTTTCAGGTCAAGACCAGGTCATCCTAGGTCATGAAAATTGATATCATGTATCGGTCACGTGACGCATGTTTTGTGGTCCATTTTACTCATAGATTTCGAAAACAATGTCGTCTGTGTCATTTGAGGTCATTTTCAGCCGAGTTTACTGGAGGCCAGGTCAGATCAGAAAAGGTCAATTTTTTAAAATGAAATTTTTCCACAAAAAGGTGCCCATCAGATGCAGTTTGAGCTCAGGACCACGATGGTGCCATTAATATTGCTGTACGATGTCAAAAACGTACTGAGAAATGGTTTTGAAAAATATATTATTGTAAAATTTTGACAATAATGCAAATAACTTGGCTATTTTTGAAGATATTGGGCTAAAACTTGCCATAATAGTTCATCAGTGTGTTTTCTATCGCGTCCGGTCTTTGCTAAAAATCAAAAACTTTTTGAAAAATAAAAAATAAATTTTTGTAATTGTAAATACCTGTTTCGAAATTTTCAAAATTTCGAAATTCGAGATAGCAGTTTGATAGCTACGTGTATTTGTAGTCCACTCATGCAAATAAATTAGATCTAGCTTTAAAACTGAGCTTTTGAGAGCGTTTGCCGTAATTCAATATTTTGCATCAAAATCGGCGGACCTGACGTCACTCTGAAGTCTGACGTCATTTCCGGCCAACCTATGGTAGCTGGAAAGTTGAAATTCTAACACAATGTGTCAAATGTATGCTGCTGAGGGTGCCGCAAGTTTCGTGTTGGTCATTCAAATGGTTCAGAAGATATTGCCGAAAAACCGGAGGGGGTGGCTCTGTAGAGCACCCCCCTCCCCCAGTCATGCGTGCATAGGCGTCGCCAGGGATTTTCGGTTGGGGGGGGGGCAAAATTAACTTTTGTGTTAAATCTTGCCTATCCCCAGTCGTTACTCACCCGTTTTACATATCATTCGACGCGCAATGGTGCGAGAAATCTGATAGTGACAAAGTTTTCCTTCTAGGTATGATGTGTAATTTTTTACAGAAAAATTCGAAATTTTGAAATTTCTAGACAAAAACGACCGGTAGGATTACAGTGGCTGCGATTGCCGACGCACTGCAGAGGGCCCTGTGCAGACTCTCGTCGCTCATGGTCATTAGCATTACCCAGAAAAAGGTGAAAAACGCTCCATTTAATCCGATCACCCTGCTGAAAGCGCCATTCACGCATGCATGCAGAGGTTTTACGTGAAATGCATAGGGCTTATCCCAGCCGCCGATTGTAGCGAAGTTGGGCATTCGGCGGAGACTGAGAGTGAATGTCGGAAGTGTGAATCGGAAGTATGTAATTCATCTTTGCTCCAGTGAGAGGAAGTGTTTTGTTAACTCGAGTGTGAACAAAAAGTTCCTCGTTTTTCGTATGAAGTGAAGCGCTGCAAACGCGAACAAAAAATGTTTAACGGAACCAAAAGTTACGGCACGGCATAGCGGCAAGGGATCCCTTAGAGATAGGCTTGGGACTTCCAGGCCATTTCAGGCCACTCATGGTCAGTGTAAGCTCCCAGAAGCCTGCTTAGGATCCCGGAGATCGGCGTGGGTCACCCCAAATATTTACGTGTATGTGGTGCTTTAGGGCTTTCCGAGCCCAAGGTGGGGCCCTCAGAAGCCAGTGTAGGCGGCGGGCGCTAAGAGACTGGGCCCAGGCCCCAGGGTGAGCCTGGAGCCCTCGGATAACAGTGTGAACCGTCGGGGTATGTGTCGAATCCCTAAGGATCCTACGTAGGGACATAAGAAACATGTGTTGCGGCCCTCAGAGGGACACGTGAGTTGTGTTGTGACCCCTCAGATGCCAGCTTGGGGTTAGCAAAGTCTGTCGCCTCAAAAGTTTGGCTAAACTATATGAGGCCAATTAAGGTTCTTAGAAATTTTCGAAGGCATCCTCAAAGATTCGTGTGGCCCTTCAGAGGTCTACATATGTATAAGGTCCTCAAAGATCCCTGTAACGATCCCTCAAAGGCTCAAAGATCCCTGTTATGGGCCCTCAGAGAACATGGACACCAGTGGGACTCTCAGAGGCCGGTCTGGGCCCTCTGAAGTCTGAAAGCTTCTTAGAGCTCAGTGGAGCTCTTTGGGAACCCGTGTGAAAAGCAAGCTCATGAGCCCTGCGGCACTTGAACGGTTCTTAATAGTGATGTCAATTACGGAAAATTGGAATACCGATACCAAACCAAATACCAACCAAAACCACGGGAAAATACCGAAACCAAACCAACTTGGGAAAATGAGGGAAATACCAACTTTTTACCGATTTCTTAGTCTCTTATACATTAGTGAGGGTTTATGATACCAACAAAATACCAAACACATTACGATTGAAATACCAAATACCAAGTTGGTATCGGTTTGGTATCGGTATACCAAAAAGTTGGTATCAGATTGACATCTCTAGTACTTAAGCCTGTCGCAGACATTTGACGAGAGTTGAGAAAGGCCCCGAAGATTTCGTGTCACGCTTTGAACGAAAATTATGTGTCAGCAGGCTCCAAAACTTATGAAAATCAGCTATAAAGTGTAATGAAGAACCAACTAGGAACATGGAATTAATCACAGCATTGACATTTCCGAGTCTGGAGCCGGAGTCTTGAAGATTTTGGCGACTGCGACTCTGACTCTTGTTTGAACTGCACGATCCAACAGATTCTGACCTCACAGGCATTCTCAGAAAGGTATCCCCATTTTTCCCGACTCAAAAATCTCATCGAATCTGCATCGATCGCAGGGGGTGCCCGGTCCGAGGTTGGGGGGCAAGCTGCCCCGCTTGCCCCCCCCCCCCCCGTGGCGACGCTAATGCATGATACGTGGGTTAACATGCGTGTGCTAGATCCATCATGAGCATAGGTGAAGTGGATACTGTTCTTCAAAATTTTAACTCGTTTCTGTCTCTTGCAATCCTGCGAAACGCGACTTCAGTCGCTCGATTCTCCGTTCCTTCGGAGAAGCGGAGGAACGGGCTCAGTTGTAACGGAGGTACGAACCACCAATGTGACGAAGTTACTTGGTCGTTACATTTTCATGTAGCGAGTTCCTTCAATTCTCGAAAGGCCTTATGGCGCCCGTCGCTCCAGAACGAAGGAATGAATCAGAATTCATAAAAGTCTTTTATATAATTCCGCGGCAGGAACCAATGGGATCATACTCGTAAATCGTAATCGTTAATTCGCTCCAAGATATCTGAGATCACTGGCCCACGGTCAACACCCGGATCCATGCACGCACACTGCATAATGCACATGACCTCTTTCATCGTGCTCCAGTGGAATATGTCGGCATCAATGACATCTGGCTTGCATTTGTCCGTCGACAGGTATCAGCATGTCCATGGAACAGTGGGACATGTTCACCCAGATTATCCCAGAGATCAGCAAGCGGCTCTGATGGGGGCTGCCGGTGGGGTGGCCGCCGCCGGCATCAGTCGGACCCGGCGCCCTCCGATGACCCGGCGCGACCAGCCGGCGTCACTCCTCATACCGCCGGGCGCCGCCCTGCCATTCTGTGATGTATTGCATTGTTTCGCTGCTTTGCCATGATAATACACGTTGTCATTGTCATAAACTGGTGTCATTGCATCCCAAGTAACTTCAAGCGCAATGCATTAGTTATACACCTTGATGGTGTTATATAGATGTAGCTGTTGTTTGGCGATAAATATTTGACTGACACAATGGAACGCACCCATTGCATCCATTCCATTCTGCTAGGCGGTGGAGTGCGTTGTACGGAAATGAACATTTTTCTTTAGTTTGTTTCGTTACGAGCGAGCGAGCGCAGCGAGCGAAGCGAAGTCTTTTCAATACCAGTAAAACGCCTTTTGGGCGAAGAACGAGCGAGCGAGACAGTGAGCCGTGCACTTGCGGAAGGGCGAGAGGGTACTTCCAACGGGGCTTGTGCAAAGCACCCTTCTAACCGGTCGCTAGCGGTGTGCCCAATTTGAACGCAATCGGCCCAGCCGTTCCTGAGATCTGGAAGCGGCATTCTGCACGTGCGCACGTGCAAACGGGGTCCAAACTGACTTGCACGGCACCCTACTAACCGGTCCCCAACCGTGTACCAAATTTGAGCGCAATCGGCCAAGCCGTTCTCGAGATCTGGAAACGCCCCCTGCACGTGCGCACGTGCAGTAGCACCCTAACCGCAACACATTGGAAGGCATTGCCTGGCGGATGCCTACCTGTATGCCAAGTTTCAGCGAAATCGCCCCAGTAATTACTGAGTTATTGAAATGGGAACAAATTTGGCACCTCTTCTTTTTTATTTTGCACGTGCAGTGGGGGTCACTCACATAGATCAAGAGTATCCGACCTTTGGTAGAAGGGATGCAGCTACCTTATAAAAATTACCGCAAGACAATCGCCCAAGCGGCTGCTGAGATATGAGCCTCTCAAAATTACTACTTTTGCAAAACAGCTTGAACACCCTTGACTTTTCACGTGGCACGTGCCACGGCGGTCACTGAGATGTGTCAAAAGTAGTCAATTACGGGGTAGAAGGGATGGGGCTACCCAGCAAAAAAAGACCGCAGGCCAATCGGTCCAGCGGTTGCTGAGATATAAGCCTCTCAAAAGCGTTACAGGCCGGGCCAGGCCGGGCCGGGCCGGGCCGCTCATTACGAGCAAGCGAGCGCAGCGAGCGAAGCGAAGTCTTTTCAATACCAGTAAAACGCCTTATGGGCGAAGAACGAGCGAGCGAGATAGTAAGCCCTGCACATGCGGAAGGGCGAGAAGGTACTTCCAACGGGCTTGTGCAAAGCACCCTTCTAACCGGTCGCTAGCGGTGTGCCCAATTTGAACGCAATCGGCCCAGCCGTTCCTGAGATCTGGAAGCGGCATTCTGCACGTGCGCACGTGCAAACGGGGTCCAAACTGACTTTTGCACGGCACCCTACTACTAACCGGTCCCCAACCGTGTACCAAATTTGAGCGCAATCGGCCCAGCCGTTCTCGAGATCTGGAAACGCCCCCTGCACGTGCGCACGTGCAGTAGGTAGCACCCTAACCGCAACACATGGGAAGGCATTGGCTGGTGGGTGCCTACCTGTATGCCAAGTTTCAGCGAAATCGCCCCAGTACCTAATTACTGAGTTATTGAAATGGGAACAAATTTGGCACCTCTTCTTTTTTATTTTGCAGGTGCAGTGGGGGTCACTCACATAGATCAAGAGTATCCGACCTTTGGTAGAAGGGATGCAGCTACCCTACAAAAATTACCGCAAGACAATCGGTCAAGCGGCTGCTGAGATATGAGCCTCTCAAAATTACTACTTTTGCAAAACAGCTTGAACACCCTTGACTTTTCACGTGGCACGTGCCACGACGGTCACTGAGATGTGACAAAAGTAGTCAATTACGGGGTAGAAGGGATGGGGCTACCCAGCAAAAAAGACCGCAGGCCAATCGGTCCAGCGGTTGCTGAGATATAAGCCTCTCGAAAGCGTTACAGGCCGGGCCGGGCCGGGCCGCTCATTACGAGCAAGCGAGCGAAGCGAAGTCTTTTCATTACAAGTTTCAGCGAAATCGCCCCAGTAATTACCGAGTTATTGAAATGGGAACAAATTTGGCACCTATTCTTTTTTCATTTTGCACGTGCAGTGGGGGTCCCTCACATAGATCAAGAATATCCGACCTTTGGTAGAAGGGATGCAGCTACCCTACAAAAATTACCGCAAGACAATCGCCCAAGCGGCTGCTGAGATATGGGCCTCTCAAAATCACTACATTTGCAAAACAGCTTGAACACCCTTGACTTTTCACGTGGCACGTGCCACGACGGTCACTGAGAGGCATCAAAAGTAGTCAATTACGGGGTAGAAGGAATGGGGCTACCCAGCAAAAAAGACCGCAGGCCAATCGGTCCAGCGGTTGCTGAGATATAAGCCTCTCAAAAGCGTTACAGGCCGGGCCGGGCCGCTCATACTGAGATTTTTCCGTGATATTGAAAAGACTCACTTCGCTCGCTGCGCTCGCTCGCTCGTAACCAGTAAAACGCCTTTTGGGCGAAGAACGAGCGAGCGAGATAGTGAGCCCTGCACGTGCGGAAGGGCGAGAGGGTACTTCCAACGGGCTTGTGCAAAGCACCCTTCTAACCGGTCGCTAGCGGTGTGCCAAATTTGAACGCAATTGGCCCAGCCGTTCCTGAGATCTGAAGGCGGCATTCTGCACGTGCGCACGTGCAAACGGGGTCCAAAATGACTTTTGCACGGCACCCTACTAACCGGTCCCCAACCGTTTACCAAATTTGAGCGCAATCGGCCCAGCCGTTCTTGAGATCTGGAAACGCCCCCTGCACGTGCGCACGTGCAGTAGCACCCTAACCGCAACACATGGGAATGCATTGCCTGGTGGGTGCCTACCTGTATGCCAAGTTTCAGCGAAATCGCCCCAATAATTACCGAGTTACTGAAATGGGAACAAATTTGGCACCTCTTCTTTTTGTATTTTGCACGTGCAGTGGGGGTCACTCACATAGATCAAGAGTATCCGACCTTTGGTAGAAGGGATGCAGCTACCCTAAAAAAATTACCGCAAGACAATCGCTCAAGCCGCTGCTGAGATATGGGCTTCTAAAAATCATTACTTTTGCAAAACTGCTTGAACACCCTTGACTTTTCTTCACGTGGCACGTGCCACGACGATCACTGAGATGTGTCAAGAGTAGTCAATTACGGGGTAGAAGGGATGGGGTACCCAGCAAAAAAGACCGCAGGCCAATCGGTCCAGCGGTTGCTGAGATATAAGCCTCTGAAAAGCGTTACAGGCCGGGCCGGGCCGGGCCGGGCCACTCATACTGAGATTTTCCGTTATTATGAGCGAGCGAGCGCAGCGAGCGAAGCGAAATCTTTTCAATATAACGGGAAAATCTCAGTATGAGCGGCCCGGCCCGGCCCGGCCCGGCCCGGCCTGTAACGCTTTTGAGAGGCTTATATCTCAGCAACCGCTGGACCGATTGGCCTGCGGTCTTTTTTGCTGGGTAGCCCCATCCCTTCTACTCCGTAATTGACTACTTTTGATACATCTCAGTGACCGTCGTGGCACGTGCCACGTGAAAAGTCAAGGGTGTTCAAGCTGTTTTGCAAAAGTAGTGTTTTTGAGAGGCTCATATCTCAGCAGCCGCTTGGGCGATTGTCTTGCGGTAATTTTTGTAGGGTAGCTGCATCCCTTCTACCAAAGGTCGGATACTCTTGATCTATGTGAGTGACCCCCACTGCACGTGCAAAATGCCAAAAGAAGAGGTGCCAAATTTGTTCCCATTTCAATAACTCGGCAATTACTGGGGTGATTTCGCTGAAACTTGGCATACAAGTAGACACCCACCAGGCAAGGCATTCCCATGTGCTACGGTTAGGGTGCCACTGCACGTGCGCACGTGCAGGGGGCGCTTCCAGATCTCGAGAACGACTGGGCCGATTGCGCTCAAATTTGGTACACGGTTGGGGACCAGTTAGTAGGGTGCCGTGCAAAAGTCAGTTTAGACCCCGGTTGCACGTGCGCACGTGCAGAAGGCCGCTTCCAGATCTCAGGAACGGCTGGGCCAATTGCGTTCAAATTTGGCACACCGCTAGCGACCGGTTAGAAGTTAGAACGGTGCTTTGCACAAGCCCGTTGGAAACTTCCTCTCGCCCTTCCGCACGTGCAGGGCTTACTATCTCGCTCGCTCGTTCTTCGCCCATAAGGCGTTTTATTGTTAATAACTCGGTTTGAATTTATATTTAGCCCTCAGAGCATGTCACTTCTGTCCCTGAAGTCAGTTTGCCTCTCCCCTCAACTCAAATCAAAGTACCGCCCATCTTCAAAACCTCCCATCTTCAAAAAAGCTAATGAATTGGCATGAAAGTGATGTTGCCCGGTTTAGAAAGAGCTAAAACGAACGTCTACTAAATTTCCGAAAAAATTTCACCGGTTTTCTCGATATTAGACTCGTACTTTCGTTTACTTTTTGGAATCTCCACTGTTCCTAGCGACTTTATTTGGAAGCAATAGTTTGGCAGCTGAATGTGCAGCACTTGTTGCGTGCAGCACTTGTTGCGCGCAAAGCAGCATACCTAGGATACCTATACCACCGCCACTGAACTCTATAATGACCACCGCGTAAGCGTTATGCCTGAAACAGACTCTTTCCGCAGTCAGGAAATCGCATGCGAGAGCCTATTCAAATACATGGAAGCACGCTCGCATCAATCGCACGCACCTCCCGCAAGCGATTGGTGCGAGAAGAATTATTAATGTATTTGAATAGGCTCTCGCATGCGATTTCCTGAACGCGGAAAGAGTCTGTTTCAGCCTTTAGATCTGCGCTGACGTCACACATGCAGAGGGGGCATTCAAATGCATTAGCCCCTCTAAACCCAAAGTGCTGTAACTTTGAGCTTAGATATTTTCGATTTGAGGCATTTCTCGATGTTGTGAATGCTCAAACCGGTAAGTGCAGGCCAGGGGCCCCCTATTTGGCTCACTGGCGGATCCAGACCTGCGTTTTGGAGGCCAACTCATGCCAGGAGCCAAACCTATGGTACCCCCAAATCCTGTTTTCTCATTGGATTTAGGCCACTTATTTTTGTC